GTGCCAAAAATAATTTGGATTTGGGATTTGGGATTGGGATTTGGGATTTGGGATTTTGGCATTTGGATTTTGAATTTAGGTGGCAGGTATAATTTGGACTCTAAATAAAGAAGCATTGAAAATAATAAAGTGAGATAAGAAGATCATTTCAATTTATGATCCTGATATCTCAAATCAAGATGATAATAACAATAATGATAACAATAATGATGACGATAATAATGATAATGATAAAACAGAAATTATTAGTAGAAAAAGAAAAAGAAAAGGAAGAGAAAAAGAAAAAAAAAAGAAAAAAAAAAGAAAAAATCTAAAAAAAATAAAAAAAAATAATTAGATAGATTTAAACATGAACATTAAAAACATTTTATATAGTATAAATAATATAATTAACAATATATAATATATAAAACATTTTTCATTTTATATTTTTTATTAATAAATAATATATTTCATTTATATTTTATAATAATAAACAAAAATGCGATTATCGGTAATAAGAAAAATGAAAATATATAAATAAAAGTTACCAATAGGTTCATAGTAAGAAAAAAATATCCAATATTGAGAAATATATAGTGACCGATATATATCTGATATACTATATCAATATATTGAAAATATATGCCTAATAAAAAATAAATGAAATTAGATGTCCGATAAGTGTATGATATATTTGAAAAAATGTCAAAAAAACAGAGTCCAATATGTGCTGATATCTGTCAATATGTGTTCAAACTTTAACACGCTCATCCTACCTATCAGGAGCCTGATATATTAAAATTTATTGAAAATCATGCACCTATCGTATACCTATTGGGTATCTGATAGGTATATGATAGGTGCTGATTTTCTACAATTTGACCAGTGATAGTTTATCCTGTACTTATGTCTAAAGATATGTTCAAAAGTATGTCTAAATCTATATCTATACTACAGACTTACATGTTACAAAGAATTTAGGATAATAACTATTTTGAGTAATAAATAATAATTCGTATTACATATTTTGAAATTGATTTACTAATAATTATAATACTAATAGATAATAAGATAAATAATAAAAATAGAAGATAATAATATATGTAAAATAATAAGAATATAATAATTAAGAATAAAAATAAGAGATAAAAAAGCAGGATAACACCCATTATTAACAATTGTTATTACCATTGATATACTTTTGATTTGAAAAGCTTGAGAAGTTTTGTAAACTGGTTTAACACTATTCAAGTCTTGACTACTGTAAAGTTTTGATTTAAGTTTTTTTTTTTAATTCAGCATCATCCATTTCCAAATTTTCAAAATTGTCAGTTGGATGGAAAAAAGAATTATAGATAAAATAAACAATATTATGTCTAATATTATTAGCTTTATCAGTTAAAAGAAAGTTACCTTGAAGTAAATAATAAGAAGAGAATATGACAAGCTGATCAGGTTATGAAGTTGAGGAAAATAAAGTTCACCTTCTTGAAAGTTACCTAATGGTATTAGACAACATAAACAATTTGGTGCATTAGATTTATCCCAATGAAACTACTAAGTTGATTAAAATTAATAGCAATCATTGAAAAAATTTCAAAAGATTTTGGAGCAAAAGGATTTCAAAAAAGATTTCTCAACTTTGAATACATATTTCCATAATTGTTTTATATAAATTTGTTGATATATGTTGATAATGGTACAAGACTAAGAAGTAATTCATTAACACATGATTGATGAACTAGATACTACTACTTATATTGACACTTGTATACAAAAGATCTGTATATAATATATAAGCACCAAAATGTTCAACTCAATTTTTGCAAAAATCCAAATTTCAATGAATTTGATCTTCATTGTCACTAATTAAATGGAAATAGTATTTTTCATACTTAAAATATTGCTCCCTGACAAATAAAATGTATTATGAATATTATGAATAAACACAAATAACATTTAACATATACAATACACATGTTTTCCAATTAATGATTAACAAAAATAATCATTATACATATAAAAAAGCAAAAATAAAAAGATATCTATTATTATGCTGGGGCTAATAGAACATTATGCTAATATGGACTTGACTTTATGATATTCAACTGGTGTATCCAAGAAATTTCCAAAACAATTTTCTTTTATATATAACAAGTTACCAATTCTCTAATGTCTAGTAATATTGTATTATTACCAATCCAAATCCAATTAAAAACTAACTATTTAAAAATAACCAGTTGTCAGTCAATTTTTTTTGAACTACTTAAACATTTTTAAAAAACATATTACTTGATAATTATGGTGAAAGCACTTACCAATGAAATAAACTAATCTGATCTTCGTTCATGTGCTTGTAGTCTGACACGTTTTTCATAACCTGTCATGTCGTTCCTGACGTGACGAAAAATAAATGTATATAAAAGTTATAGTATTTACAAACACCAAAAAAAAAAAAAGAAAGATATTTACTTGAACATCATATAAGCCTCCGATTGGGCGGGACTGTTGAGATTGGGTTCGTTCAGAAGTTTCTGTATTCCTATTACAATCTAATTATTACACATAATACAATACAATACAATAATAACGAAATTTATCAATGTTAACATAAAAATTCAAAGAAAAATTTCAACGATACAAATCAAAAAAAAAATATGTAAAAACAATATTTACATCTTTGATTCTAATAGAAGGTTTCCATGCTTCGTCCTCATTCAAGATTGATAAACACACTGTACCTGATGGGTATACATTCGGATGGAAAAGAGGTGGAACAAACTTACCTGTAATATTATTTAAGATATTAAATATATCAAGTATAATTAACAATACAATAGATCAAGATTTTGAGGAAAAAATTATTCACATTTTGGAGGTTTTACGGGATAATCTAATAATTAATTGATTAATGAAAAAAATATAATATTTAATAAAAATATAAAATGATTTTATTATAATATTTATAATATTTATATATAAATATATATCTCTTAATATATTTATCTCAATATATATATATATATATATATATAATCAATCAATCAATCAATCAATCAAATCCCATACCTTCAGGAAATGTAAACACAAGTTTATACATTCCATTCTCCCAAGGTGTCTATAATAAATATTTTGATAAAAAAAAATCAACCTTTTAAATTAAAAAATCGATACTTATTAGAAGATACTTAAATAATATTTTACTTTGTACTCATGTTTCCATGATAGATTTATATATCATTTTTTTTTTTTCATAAAAAAACTGAAATAATGAAAATTTCAATGATATTCTTGCAAACCTTTTTTCCAAGAAATCAAATAAATTAAAAGTTCCCCACATCAAAAATTTATAATACTTACCCCTTTGGGTCCAGGGATCCCAACGTTCCAAACCATAAGATTTAAACCTTGATCGGTCGTTTCTGGTTTCGCGTAAAAACCCTTAATATTCGATAGTTAGTAAATTAAATATAAAGAGAACAAAGAACTTATAAAAAACGAAAAAGTGAAAGTAGAAGGTAATAAATTTGAATTACATATGGATGATCTTTTCTCCACTGTTTGCGTTCTTCTTGAAGTCTAGTCTTGCATATACCTGACATTTTATCTTTATTTTATTATTGATCAAATAATACGGCTGTAAAAAAGGTTTATTTAAAAGTTTGTTTGGAAACAAAGGTTACAAAGGTTACACGTTTAAGTCAAAAAATTCAAGTCACGTGTTATCCGGAGTGTTATCTTTGTTGAAAAAAAAGACATTTTTTTGTCATTCTTAACAAGTCTTTATTACCATGAGAATTGGTTTTAACAAGATGAATTACAACAAGTTTCAAATAATTATATGAAACTCCTAATTACCATAGATAGATAGAATTGTCAAAAAAGGTAATTAATACTTCTCAAAATGTTCAAGTATGAACAATGAGAAAAATGGACATTTATTAACACAACAAATAAGGTATTTAACATTTGATAAAACAAATTTGACAAAGAAATTTTTAAGAAATTCTTTATTTTTTTTATAACTATGATTCAGTTACTTTTGTTATTATTATGGATTACTTATTATGTTGTATCAAGGATGTCATCCTAGTTGTATTGTACCAATTTTAATTATCCAAAATAAAGAATTTGATGCAGAAAAATAATCATTTCTTCCTGAATTCAAATTGATGATATTTTTTTTTTGGTAATAAAATTAATTATTCAAGTTAATTCAAGTCATTACAATTAGATAATAAATTCAATTCTAGTATTCTTCCAGTCATCCTTTTTATTATTAAAATTAAATAAATAAATGCTTTTTTACATTACTTTTTTCTTTGCATAAATACTTACCCAAAATGTCTAAAATTTAAATTTCGTTATCGGTTATTGCATACATTGTTTTGGTGACAATTGTTTTATACATCATATATATACATATATATATCCAGTAAATATATCCAATAATATCAGTTGAAAATCACATTGTATTCTGTGGTGGAGATTTAATTTAATGTAGAAATTCAACGAAAATTATATATTTTTTTAAAAAATGGAAATAACCAGTGAAAATTAAATTTCTTTGTTAAAATCTTTATAAAGTTAGGTATTTTTATTTAATAATACATAGAAATATAGATAAAGATTTTTTTTTTTTATATACGTGTGCCGTAATAAATATTTACCTTTGTAAAATCTTTAATTCAGTTTTTTGAATGTTTCAGAGCAACCTACATAATTATATAAAAATATAATTGCATCAAAGAATTCACATGAGTTTCTGTACGTAATGCTGTAATGTGAAAATGAAATGAAATCGAAAAATTAATTTATAATTATAGAAAAATTCTTTCTAAATGGCTTATTTCTAATAAATAAATAAATACATAATAATGCAGTAATTCAAGTTACATGAATCACCTGATTATAATTTTCATAATATTTATAATTTTTAGATTGAATAAAGAGGAGATGGAGAAGGAGAAGTGCATGACAAATGTGAACACAAATTGCAGTAAAATATTTTAATTAATTATGTATTAATGTCATCAAATAATGCATTCAGTTGACTTGCCTTTGGCTAATTTCCTTTTTTTTTTTTTGAAAAATAAAGATATTTTTTATGATTCCTTCTTTATAAACATTGATGATGATTATTATTATTTCTGTATAAATTTAAAATAATAAAAATAATAATAATAATAATAATAACCAACTTTCCACATATTTGATATGGTCCTTTTTAAAGCATGAAAGATAATTATTTATTATCATTATTTTTTTGTTGATGGTGTTCTTGATATGTTCTTCAGTTATTTTTTAGTTGTTTTGAACTACTCTTGTCCCTGTTTTTAATTACATTTAACCATTTTGTTTATTATGTTTGTTGTAAAAAGCAAAACAGAAATGTCCTGCTGATAAATCTAGAATATACATTCACATCAAAAAAAAAAAAAATCAGTTTAATGCAAAACGGGAAATCGTGCATGGCATTTGTTTTTTTGGATTTCTTATTTCGTTCCCCTGTTTATTGAGGCTTTGCAAAAATAATGTGTTTAGTATCGTTTAGTTCTCCTGAATTTTGTATTACTACCTCGTAATTTTTCCTATTCACATTTTTGTAATTTGTATGCTATCTACTTTTATATTTCTCATTCATCACTGTATGCTGCTCTATTTTTAGCTTGAAAATACAATTTTTCTTTTTGTAGTTATTAAAATGATGATGATGATTCACAATGACATGATTCACAATGACATGATTACTACTCCTTCTTCTTCCTGTCATTAAAAATAAATAGATCTTTGATTCTTTTTTTACTACATGTAATAATAATAAAAAAAAAAAAGCCATTCAACCCAAGCCCGGTCTATCTATTTATGATCTTCAAAACTTCGAGGCTGTGACGTCAGATATTAATAGAAATTGAATCAATATCTCCCATAATTTCGGCAATAACCAACCAATTAAACGTAACGTAACTCAATCTATTTGATTGTATGAAATCTGCCCAATAAAAGATACATTTCACAATAAAAAGAAATAAAAATATGTATTAAATTAAAATTAAATAAATATAAATATAAATAAATAAATATATATATATATAGTTTAAATATAAATTAAAAATATAGTTTAAACATATACAGTTAAATATAACAATTATTATTCTCGATATTAACAATGGGAATATACTCTGATTGATATATTTATACTTTGATTGATGTATAATTATTTGTAAACACTTGTTGTAACGAATTTTTTCATTTTTTTTAATTTATACTCAAAAATTCTCACTCAATAATCTCAATAAACACTTTTTCTTGTTCATATTTACCACCATTAAATTTTGTGGTATATATATATATATTATAGATTTATGTGCATTTATTTTATTTTTTTTATTTAAAGTCATTGTAATCATTTAAATTCATTATTATTTTATAAGGTCATTATTTATTATTTAAATTCTCTATTACAGCGAATTCTTTTTTATTAAATTCCTTTTTTTTTTTTTATTAAATTTTTTCTGTATTAAATTTTTCTGTATTATTAAAATTTTTCTGTATTATTATTAAATTCTTCTGTATCATTATTAAATTCTTCTGTATTATTATTAAATTCTTCTGCATCATTATTAAATTCTTCTGCATTATTATTAAATTATTCATTAAAAGATAAATTTGATAAATTTTTTGACGTGGAGAACTTTTCTTTACTGATCAATTAATTATGTATTTTTTTCAACAACCAACACAATTAGTATCTTTAATAAACAAAAAACTCTCAGCCATTTATTTTTTTCTTGCTTCATTTTCTACCACAATGACTATACGCACATCAACAGCACCATCTAAAATTACAAATTTATGTGCATCTAATTATTCTTCTTCTTCTACTCCTTCTTCTACTCTTGATATTCATGATAATAATAATAATAATAATTTTATTAAAAATTTTAATTTTATAAATTCAATATTATCATCATCACAACAACAAACTTTTACAATATTACCTGATGAATTACTCACTGAAATTTGTGAACTTTTATCTCCCGAAGATCTATATTCACTTTCTTCCACTTGTAAAAGATTTCGAAGTTTTCTTTGGTCATCAAGTTCTTTATTAACTCAACAAATATGGAGAAATTCTCGGAGAACTTATTATCCACAATATAAAGCATTACCTTTAAAAGATATGTCCGAACAACAATATATTTTCTTGATTACATTAGCAAAGAAATGTCAATTTTGTGGAGAAATGGAAAAGAAAAAGTTAAAGAAATATTGGGAATTTCAAGTATATTCATGTGAAAAATGTATAAGAAAAAGAATTGCTAGGTATGTTTTCTTTTCATAATTATCATTACGTTTTCATCATTTATTATGTTTTCATTATTATTACATAGTACGTGAATTAAATATAAATTTATAACAATTTCTTTTTTTCCCTTTTCTTTATTATCATTATTATTATTTATTATTATAGTCACAAAAATCTTTTAAAAAATGGTATGATTCACGAAGATGTTCTTTCGACTTGTTTGAATTTAGGTGAACAAGGATATTTCCTATCACATGTAAAAATGGCACAAATCGATTATTTACAATGTCAAGATAAATTCTCATGGGTAACGCATAAACAATTAGACGTTATTCAACAAAAATGTAGAATAATTTCTATTTTGTTAGATGAATTTTACGAAGATTCAATATTATCGTGTACATAATTAATAATAACAATAATAACAATAATAATAATAATAATAATAATTAGTAATTTATTGATTCCGGTATTTTGTTTTGGTAAATGATTCCAGTATTTGTTGTTTTAGTAATCCCCTCGCGTTTCCTTTATTCCTGATTAGTTTTGAATGATAAGAAAGATTTCGAGGAGTTGATGTCTAAATTTATATATAAAAACTATTTAAGATAGATCTAGATATTTGATATATATATATATATATATATATATATATATTACTGTACTTTTCTCTTTATAATTCTTCGTTGTTAAATAAATTATTGTAATTATATATAAAGCTTTGTAAAAAAAAAAAAAAAAAACAAAATTTATAAAATTGAGTTCTTTGAAAGATATTACACATAATTACATATTTAGAATATATTTATTTACGTGAGAATATATGCAAAATATGCTTCACTAAAGGTAAACAATTAGCTGCTTATGTCATCCAAAATTGGTCGCTAACAATGCCCCGAGTCTTCCCGCCGAATCATAATCATCATTTATTCCGATGCAACCTGAATGCATTGGGGACAGAAATGTCAATTTTAATTTGGAAGGATATCTCTTTTATAGAATAACGAGAACGAGAAAATAAATGAGATTGTTTCTAAAAAACTAAAAGAAATTGTTAGAAATTGTATATATAATCATATTATCATATTATGTATGTACTGTATAATTCATATTATGTACTATGAAGATCAATTTCGATTATCTCTAAAATAAATATTTTTAGCGAATTTTTTTTTTTAAGTGATGTCTCGACTTATTCTACATTCATCACCACTATCACCATCACCATCATCTAAATTTTTTATAAATTCGAATATTTCTAATTCAAAAAAATTTTTATTATTATCAGTATCGAGAATATCGAGATTAAAAATTAGGGAATTCTTAAGATATGAAAATTTTTATAGATATAATAATACTTTAAATACTAGAATTTCTTCTCAAAGAGAATTTGCAAAGAGCATCGGTGGGTTAGTTATCTACATAATTCTATTTCATTATTAAATATTTTAAATAAATTAATGAAAATAATAATAATAATTCTAATTCATCAAATTCATCGTTATCATTATTATTACTATTATTGTTGTTGATAAATTATATTAAATCTTTTATTTTTATTTTTAATCTTTTTGTAATTCAAATAGAGATAAGGTTTATCAACAATTATTAAATGATATAAATGCCTCACTTCTCAGTCCTCCCGAAGATCCTGCTGAAGGAATAATTGTTGACCCAGTTGAAGTACCATATCCCAAAAGATCTTTGGAAGCATTGTTTGGTAGAAAGAGAATAGGTTGGGTTAATTTACCTAAATGGCTTGATAATGCGGTTTTAGATATTCTTAAAGGTTAGTAATATAATTATTAAAATGTATTCTTTAAATATTTTTAATATTTTTAATATTCTTAATATTCTTTTAATATTTTTAAATATTTTTAATATTTTTTTAATATTTTTAAATATTTTTTAATATTTTTTAATATTTTTAAATAATAATAGGTCATGAAAAAGATGTAATTAGATCTGATGCAGGTCGGTTATATCAATCTTTTCGTTCAACTACCGGATTTAGAGAAGAAAACATACATAATGGTAGATGCCAAAACTTTAATCTTTAATGATCTGCTTTAATTTTAATTATTATATTTAAATTATTCCTTCCTTCCTTCCTTTATTTAATTATTTATTATTTATTTTACTTATTTTATTTATTTTATTTTATTTTATTTTCACAATTATTTATATCCAAAGATCCTATATTTGGACCATGCAAAACTGCCGCCAAAACTTTCAAACGACAACAACATGAATTTAATGAGAGTAATATTAAACCACATTTACTTGAATATGGTGATCGTGAAACTTTAGCTTATTTAGCGGGATATTTACCAATTACATATGGACCTATATATAATGTTCTTTATGAAATAAATACACGATTACCAGATTTTGAACCGAAAAGTGTGATGGATTTTGGAACTGGACCTGGAACTGCAATATGGTAAGTTACTATTATTATTATTATTATTTTACCATAAAAATCATTTTTCATTCATGTAATAATAATAATATTCATTCATTCATTCTTTTTTTTTTTTTATTGAAAAGGGCGTCACATAAAGTTTGGGGCCAGAAAATTGAAAGTTATTTGGGAATTGATATTTCGGAATCAATGTTAAGAATGGCTGAGACCTTATTATCAAGTAAATTCTCATCATCACTATAATATTACTATAAAGTATAGAAGAATGATTGAATAATTATTTTATAAAAAATAAAATAGATATGTCACATGAAGATAGAATACAAAATTGTTATTTCCGAAGATATATTACATATGATCCAAGGGTATTATTAATAATAATATGATTAATATAATTAATATTCTATTATGTTTTGATTATGTATTTATTATTATTTTTTATATTATTTTTATGAATTTATTAGCAAACAAGACATAACCTTGTGATTAGTGCTTTCTCATTAGCTGAATTACCAAATGAAAATACTCAAGAAGCAATATTAGAGTCATTATGGAATCGAACAGAAGATATTTTGGTAAATTATAGTAATTCCCAATAACATTATTATTATTATTATTATTATTATTTACATTTATTTACATTTATTTACATTTATTTATAATTTAGGTTTTAATAGAAAAAGGTACACCTGCAGGATTTAAAATAATTAATGATGCTAGAAATAAGATACTAAAGAATGCTAAAAAATGGCAGATTCCTTCTTCATCGTTATCAAGTGATCGTGATTTAAAAAATAATAATAGTTATAATCAAAAGGATTCAATTATGGACAATATTTTATCATCTAAAGTGGGAGCTCACGTTGTTGCACCGGTTTGTTTTAAATTTTTATTATGCAAATAAATATAGAATTAATTTATAACTTTTTTTTTTCATTATTTTCATTATTTTTATTATCTGCATTTTTTTTTTCTTTTTTCTATAGTGTCCACATGATGGTCCGTGTCCTTTAGAAAATTCAAGGAATTGGTGCCATTTCTCACAAAGAATTAACAGACCTTCATTTTTTGTTAGTATCAAATGTATTGACAATGATTTCTCTCTATTATGTTTCTATTAACATTTTTTCTAATAATTAATTAGATGCAAACTAAAGCAGTTCGTAAAGAAAATCACGAAGATTCTAAATATTCATATGTCGTGTTGAGAAGGGGTCCAAGACCTGAATTAGTTAGTGAATCTAAACCAACGGAAAAATTCGAAAAAATATTGGAAGAAAAATCAATTGATACTGATTTAGTTAAAGGTAATTTATTTACAATACTATTTCAAATACATAACTGTGTTTTCTTTTTGTTTTCTAATTTATCCAAATATGTTATATTTTATTTTAGAGTTCATTAGTGAGGCATTTCAGTGGCCACGCTTGATTGTGCCACCAATGAAACGTAGTGGACACGTTGTGATGGATGGTTGCTCAAAGTCAGGTATTCATAAACACTGTTTAAATATTTCGTTATTCATTTTTTTTTATCTCATTTTTTTTAACTTCGATATTTAATATTTTAATATTTAGGTTATATCGAAAGAATAGTGATTCCAAAATCTTTAGGTAAACTAGCATATCGTGATGCAAGAAAAGCCATGTGGGGAGATTTATTCCCACATAAACCTAAAAAACCACCTGAGCGTAGGATTACTAGAGAAAAGAAAGACAAGAAATATGAAAAGAAGAAAATGATGAAGCCAATTATTGAAGAAAAAGAAAAAGATGATGATTGGAAAGAAGGAATACCATCACTTAGAATAAGAAATCATCCTTCAAAGAAGAATAAACAGAATAAACAGAATAAGCAAAATAAACAAAATAAACAAAGTAAACAGAATAATAAACAGAGTAAGCAGAGTAAACGGAATAGTAAACAAGGCGTTTTGAGAATGGAGAAATTAGGATAATAGTAAAATATTCAAATATAAAACAAGTAATAAAACATGATAATTTTTGGAAATTTCAATTAAATGTTTGTCCACGAATTGTTTAATTCTCAATCTTTCCTATTTAAAGTAATTTTCCTTATGTTTAATTCCTGTTTAAAGTAATTTTAATTATTTTTCATTAATTAAAAAGATTTTTTATATCCGTAACAATTTTTATTGATAATTATAAAAATAAGTTTATTTATTAACTAGCCATTAGGGGTTGGAAAAAAAAACTCTTTCTGCATTCCATCAGAAAAATAAAATTCCGCAGTAAGAATATACAAAAACCAAAAAAAAATAAAGAAAAACTAGTGTGAAAATATGGAAGGAAACCTTTTCTCTAGTGTCAATAGAGTTACCTATAGTAAGACAGGTATGGATAAACACCAAGAATCCCAAAACAAGGGGACTAGACATAATCCACTTAAAGTAGACAAGCCTTTAAAGTCTGGTTCTACTGTAGAAAACATTAAAACAAAAGTAACAACAGATAAACAAAAGCAAAAAGAACAAATACACGAAATGAAAGTTGAAACTGTTTTAATCGAAACCGAATATAACAATATACTCAAAGAACAATAACAATTTTTGCAAGTGAAATATGGTAAAGGGAAAAGAAAACTGAGTCAAGTAGAAAATGAGAACAACGACAGAGTTTATAACAATGAGAATGAAGAAAATATTGAAGACGATTATATAGAAGATGATATTCAATCTATTCACTCAGATAACAGCAACATGTCAAACCATTCAGAATGGAGGAAAAATCTTGGACTTAAAAGATACAAAGTAAGAGCTTTAGTAAAAAATTTTGTAGGAAGAGGTATTGGAAAAAAATTGGATTGGATTACTCAAGAATTAAAAGATAAAATAGAATACACTTTTATTAAAGTAGAATATAGAAAGAAAACCAAAGGCAGTTACATTGCAATTTATTTTAACAAAAAGGAAGAACTCAAAAAAGCTCTAGACCTTGAATTTGTCAATGAGAACAAAGAAAAATTCAAATTGGAAGAAAAGTCATTCAATATGTGTGTAATAAATGTAAACAATAAACAAACACATGCAATAATCTAGGATTTACCAGTTAGTATAAAAAAGAATGAACTAAAAATAGAATTAGAAAACAGATATGACAAAGTGAAATTGATCAGTACTGTACTTAGGAAAATGTAGCAAAAGACATATGTTATATTTGCAGATCTAGAAGATACTAAAAATTTTACCAAATCCTCATCACAAGTAATTGAAAAAGATATAGTTAGAGTAACACTACTTGGCATAACAGTATCTCAACTAAAAGAAAGAGGTAAATATGTTGTCAGAGCTTTAGGTATTTTCCTTGAAATGACTCCATCAAAAATATACAATGAATTTAAAAAAATAGGTGCAATGGCTTGTTACATCTCTAGAAATGCATTTTATGCAAGAAAGAGAATAACTATCTTATTTTTTGAATTAGCTGAAATTAGAGACAACGCAATAGGTTATAAATGGCTTACAAAAGATTTTACAATTGAATTAATAGATATAACAACTAAAGAATACCATATATATTATGATATTATACATTGTTATCATGAGTTTTCTCCATTCTAATAATTTTCTTAATATTTTATTTATTTCTTATTTGTATTTATTTTATTTTATTAGTATAATGATTTAGTATATTTTAATTATTAGCTATAATTAATATTTATTTATTTATTAGTGTAATACAAATTTTGTAAATCAATAATGTAGATCATAGTGGTCTAGTTACTACTGATTAACAAATTTAGTGGCCAACTGATTGACACAATTACTGGTCAAGATTTTGATCAACTTACTAACCAACTTATTGACCAAATTAAATATTATAAAAAAGGTAAGTTTTCTCTCCACCCCAAGACAGATTCAAATAGTTTTCAAATAAGATTTGAATAATTCTAAATAGTGACATTTAGAAAGTAATCTCAACTGTAATTAATTTTATAATTGAATTAATATTTTTATAATTCTAAAGTAATTGGATTATTGATTTTCTTTGTAATAAATTTATATTTCTTATATTAAAACTCTGTTATCCTTTTATTAATTTATATTTTTCAAATATAAATTCTAATCTATAAAATTCTGTTATTATTTTATAAACCATTGATAAATATATTTAATTCTTTACTTTAATTTCTTAAATTAACCTTTAAAATTTAATCATTAATCAATATTTAAAACCCATGATAATAAATTCTTAAATCTTTTAATTAGATTTTTTTGTATTTAATTTAATATTTCTTTTATTCTTCTTCTATTATCTTTCTCAATTCATAAACTAAAGTAATCATTTATGAGTTGCTAGTTGTAAATTGCCTTTTAGAAAATAAAATTAGTTCAAAAGGTTAACTAGTAACAACATTTAGCAAAAGATTGTTCAGTAAACCAAAAAACTACTGAGAGAACTATCACCTTATAACAACGAATGGATAAGTTTGAGAAAGTATGGAAAAGACATAATTCTTTTGCATATAATAGTATTTAAAAAAGGCTCGATCTATTATATACTGAGGTACTTAAATCCAACAACAATAATACTAACAAACAAACCCAACATAACAATTCAAAAATAAATATACAACAAACTAATACACTTACAAATCAAATGAACATATTACAACAGACAATGGAAAATACTATAAAATTATTAAATAACTTAACAAGAAGAATGAAAAGGGTTGAGCAATGTTTAAATATTGATAACAATGATAAAACAATGGATGAAATAGTAGATAAGAATCAAAATACAGATGACTATGATACAAATAATTATAATAATAATGGCTGGAACAATAACACTTCAGAAAATACTTTTAACATAGAAAGAAATACTAATAATAATAATAATAATAACAATAACAACAATAGTGAAAATAGAAATACCAACACCTTTGAGCAATCAGGAAATTGGATGCAAACAATGTTCTCACAACTAACAACAATGACATAACAAATACAGGTGATATTCGCAAGGCAAGATAATATAGATAAAAAAATGTGAAGTGTCTCCTCCTCCTAATAATAGTCATATTTTATACTTACTAATGATGATGAAATACAAACAAATATCATCCAATAATAACACAATACCCTTTATAGATAACAATAACAATAATAATAATAATAATAATTATAACGATAATAATATTAATAACAATAATAATAACAATTAACATAATAATAATAATTACAGTGATAATTACAATAATAATAAAAGAACTAATAATAACAATAATAATAATTAATAAATAATATAGAAAATAGGTACTCAAAATACAAGGGGTTTTAAAAATATTGTAAAATAAACCATATGGTAGACATATTACTTAGAAGAAAATTTAGACATAATTCTATTAACAGAAACAAAAATAACAAAAAAATTTGGAAAATTTATATTCTATGAAAAAATCAAACAACTAGTTTACAAAATTTATCAACTGCAGAAGCTTATAATAATAATATAAGATTAGGAATTGGAATTATGATAAAATCATCTATAGCCAAACATGTATACAAGATAGATAAACTAGAAGGATATGGCATCTGTATTCTTTTGTCATTTAGAGAAAGAATAGTCTTTCAAATAATTGGAATATATATACCTAATAAATACTCTTCAAACAATGCTATTCTAAGAAAGTTAAAACTGTGGTTTTATAATCATATTTCACAAGTCTTTTTTAACAATTGGATTTCAATAATTCTAAAAGACTGGAATGCAACCTCAGATCCAAGTATCAACCAATTCCCAATCAAAATCAAGACATTATCAGAAAGTAATTTACTTCAATTAATAATATGAAGTGGATACACAGATACTTATAGGTATATTAATAATAATAAGAAAGAATATACCTTTTATCAAATTTTTAATAATGAAGTAAGATAAATTCTATTTGGATATATTAATCACATGAGGAACTTATTACTAATGCTAATATAGACAATACAACCTTGTTAGTGAATAACGATTACTGCTCACTAGTCGAAAATTGATAAAACATACACATATCGGGTACCTGATATATGCATGGTGTGTCCCTAATATCAGACATATATCAGGTATCCGATAGGTATAGAAAATATTTTTTTACACTTATCGGGTACTGATATATATATAAAATATTTTCTATACCTATCGGGTACCCGATATATGTCCAATATTAGGGACACACCATACACATATCGGGTATCCGATATGTGTATATTTTATCAATTTTCGACCAGTGGCTATGCTTAGGTATTACTAAACATTAGTAAATTTTGTGATGGAAAGAGTTACAAAAAATACAAAAAAATGAATTACTGAATATCAAGATTATGGAATCTGAAAATGGTCAATCAAGAAAATTAGGAGAAGTTCACACAACAAACAGAAGATATATGAAAAAAACATTTACAGACAACTCAAGATTTAAAATCAGTAGAAGACATATGACTCAAACTCAAATCTACTATCATAGAAACAGGAAATAAACTCTACCTAAAGCTAAAGAACCAAAAAATCACACAAATATCATGTGGCAAAAATATTCAAAATATTCTACACTAAATATACTAAACAAATTATATCAATCAGATATCAAATTAGGAGATCCAAATAATATAAATACTTAACAACTAGAAAATATAGAGTTGATGAAAATGAAATTAGTAGATAAACATGATTTAGACATATAATCATACCCATTAACAGGCTCATATGAAGATAAACAAAAATGGATTAATGAAATAAAAAAATTATGGATAACCATTAGGAAAATAATCAAACGAGAATTACTGTAATAAGGAAAATGAAAAAAAAAATTAAACATAAGATAGAATTATAACAGAACCTTCTAAATACCAAATCAAAATATATGATAGATAAAATTTAGGATCAAGAATTATGACAAATAATACTAAACAGGATAGTCAATATTATACTTGCACACAAAATTATTTTGGAACTCCGAAATTGTAATTTTGGAGAAAAAAGTCAAAATAGTTTTTCGTAGAAGATGAAATTATTTTTTTTAAACCCAAAATTTTTTGACTATCCAGATTTATTCTTTAATTAAAGATACATATAACTAGGTACTTTTTTTACTTCCATATAGAATAGATTCTGCATAAATCTCAAAAAGTCGAAATACCTCAAAAATTCAAAATCAATTTTGGGAACATATATAGTCAATATGCAACTGAATGGAATGACACAAATCATTACAGACTCAATACAAATAAAGAATAAAGTAAAAGATCACTTATATCAATAGACAACGGAAATAGAAATTGACTCTTCCATAAAAAATACAAGATGGGAAAATAGAAATAAATCAATCCTGTCAATAAATAAAGAAATATACAATTCCTTATTAAAAGAAATAAGTAAAGATGAGATAAAAAATATAATCAAATTAATAAGCAATAATAAAGCATCAGGACCATTATTGATACCTTACGAAATCTTTAAACATCTAGATAAATATGAGTTAGAAATGACAAGTATATTATTTAATAATATCATTGAAACTGGTAAAGTATCTAAAGATTGAATTCATAGTAACATTACATTGATGTCAAAATCAAGAGAATAGGAAGGAAATTTAAAAATTACAAGACCTATAATCCTAATAGAAACAGCAAGAAAGGTTTTTACAAAGATTATTACAATTAAACTTTTAGAGATCTTAGTTGAACATAACATTTTAATGGAAAACAATTATGCTGACTTATCTGGAGGTTGTACTATACATCTTATATATATTATAAACAATATGATAAAAGATACATGTGAAGAAAAAAAGGAATTGTAAATGTTATTTCAGGATATTAGTAAGGCTTTCGACTTAGTAGATGCTAAATTAATAAAATTAATATTAAAAAGAATACAAATACTTAAAATAATAATAAAGATAATAAATTATATCAAGACAAATAGAATAACACAGGAACTAACAGAATATAGTCTTACAGAATCATATAGAGTAAACAAAAGGTTAGATCAGGGAGACTTAATTTTACTATTACTCTGGTATATATTTTATGACCCATTATTAACAGAAATTGAGGACTTAAAAAAAAGATACAAGATGAAACTAAAATGGAAAATAGACATGACTCTACAAGAACAAGTATATAAAAAAAAGCTAATAATATTGATAGCATTATTATCATGGGTTTTCTCTACTTTTATAATTTCTTATTATTTTATTTTATTTTTATTTCTTATTTGTATTTATTTTATTAGTATAGTTATTTTAGTATATTTAGTATATTTAGTTATTAGTATTTATTTATTTAGTAGTGTAATACGAATTATGTAAATCAATAATGTAGATTATAGTAACCCAGTTACTGACCAATTTAGTGGCCAACTGATGGATCAACTTAATAGCTAACTGATTGGTACAATTACTGACCAAGATTTTAACCAACTTATTGACCAACTTACTGGTCAAATCAAATATTATAAAAAGAGTAAGTTTTCTCTCCACTCCAAGAAAGATTCAGATAGTTTTTCAAATAAGATTCAAATAATTCTAAATAGTGAAATTTAGAAAGTAATCTCAATTGTAATATTTTTATAATTCTAAAGTAATTGGATTATTGATTTTTTTCATAATAAACTTAAACCTTTTATATTAAAACTCTGTTCTATTTATTAATTTATATTCTTCAAATATAAATTCTGTTCCATAAATTTCTGTTATTACTTTATAAACTATTGATAAATATATTTAATTCTTTGTCTTAATTTTTTATCTTGACCTTTAAAATTTAATTGTTAATTAATAGTTAAATCCCGTGACCCTAAATCTTAAGTTCTTTAATTAGTTTTTAGTATTTAACTTTAGTATTTCTTTTATTCTTCTTCTATTATCTTCTTCAGTTCGTAAACCAAAGTAACTGTTTACAAGTTGCTAGTTGTAAATTGCCTTTTGGAAAATAAAATTAGTTCAAAAGGTTGACTAGTAACAGTGTATATAGATAATACGGTATGGATGATAAATAATAAATTGAATATGATAAAAATCCTCAAAATTGTTAAAGAATTTTTCACGCTAAATAAAATCAAAGTTAATACTTCAAAATCAGAATTAATTATCATCAATGAAAATAAAAAAGATAGAAATAATGATATTAATTTTATAAATGATCAAATAATTCCAGTTAAACCAGCAGAAGCAATAAGATATCTAGAGGTTTAGTTATAAGAAAATGAAAAGAAAATATATCAAAAAAAACTTATTGAAGAAAAAGTCCTCAGAACTACTACAACTATAATTTAGAAATAACTAATGAATAAACAAAGTAGATACATAATAAATCACATTTTATTTTTACAGATAGAATATTTATTAATGGATTATATATATCTAGAGAAGGAATTGGAAAAGATTAATACCAGGATACAGATGTTATTTAGAAGGTCATATAGATATGTATTTAAACCATCTAATAGTATTTTATATACTACAATAGGATACAGATTATTCTGTTTACATAAATGACAACTATAAGTACATTCAACTAAATTGATAAATAAAATTAACTAAATAGATTTGTATGGGTGGATTACAAAAGTTAGACTTCAAAAGCTATAAGATTATATATAGATGATAAAAAGTATATGGGAAACAGAAATAATAAACAAGTTTAAAGCTCGTAATTGCAATTTAACTGGGAAAATATTAAAGTTACTAGTGAAAAATAATATAGAAATACAAATGAATGGTAAAGTTGAATTTCCAATTAGAATTCAAAAAGAAATTATAGATATAGAATCTTTTATGGATTTAGAGACATAGTACCATAAATATAGGAACAGTTTAAGAAAGTATGAGGTTCTTTATATAGAATAACTATTAAATGCAGACCTGAGTAGTATTCTAGAATTAAAAAGAATTCACCAATATAAAATTCTGAGAAGAAATGTAACTTGGTACATTGAGTTAAAAAGGAAAATCAAGAGAAACTAGATGATATAAAGGAAAAAATAAAAAATAATTTAATTAACAGACTATTAATAATTAGAAAAAACAAAAAGTTAAAGGGTAAGTTATACTGGTCAAAAATTGATAAAACATACACATATCGAGTACCCGATATGTGCATGGTATGTCCCTAATATTAGGCATATATCAGGTACCCGATATATATATAAAATATTTTCTACACCTATTGGGTACCCAATATATACCCGATATTAGAGATACACCATGCACATATCGGGTACCCGATATGTGTATGTTTTATCAATTTTCGACCAGTGTTAATAATAATAAATCACTTTACAGGTTCAATAATAAGAAAAATTACTAGAGAATTAAAAAAAACTAATCAAAAAATACTATGCAACATTATGTACAAGAAAAATTAGAAAAAAAGTTACAATCTCCTATAGTAGTGTATAATGGATACTCTTTAAAAGAACAAATAACAGATACAAATAATATAAATGAAAGTGTTGCATACTGTTTGATTATAGCAAATATAACAGAAACTAGTTAATTTCCAATTAGAAAATTTAATTTCTCAATTGAAAATATTAACAATAATAGGAAGAGAATGAGAATGATATATCTGCCACCCAAATTCAAAATCCAAATGCCGAAATCCCAAATGCCAAAATCCCAAATCCCAAATTCCAAATCCCAAATTATGATTAGTATTTTTTGCCGAAATCCCAAATCCCAAATTCCAAATACTAGTAATTTGGAATTTTGGTGTCCCAAATCCCAAATGATTTGGGATTTGGACAACACGTATAGCTAGATGAGATATGATTTTTTGTGGAGTGAATATTCTATAATGACCAGCAAAACTTCGTTAAGCTTAACAGAGGAACGTCCCAATAGTGCTAATGTTTCTCAACTCAAAACACTTTCATTAAATTTTTTACAAAACATCTCTGAAATATCCAACGAAGAAGAAGTTCCAAAACTTAGTCTATACCAAAAATGTGGAAAAGAAATTTTAGCATTTCCACTACGGGCATTTGTCGTATTATCTTGTGAACACATATTCCATAGAACATGTATTGAGCAACATATCGTTCGTATAGATACGCAGGTTCCTATACACCCTAGCTGTCCTATCTGCTCTACAATCATCGAAGTTATTAGAGAAGAAGGTACTCTTGGTTCCGACAAGTATCAGATGGTGCCCAAGATTCGTTCCCTTATTGATTTTGAGAAAAAAGCATCCCAGCAAAGCACTGATACTATAGAGGATGATCTGGAATTGGAGTATATGAGGGAGTTAGGCCTTATGGGTGATACATCTTCTGTTGGTCAAGAGAAGCAACTGGATAATGCTTCAACCCAAGATCAAACAAATATTTCTGTCACAGCACAAGAGCAAGATACAAGCCCTATGTGTCTTGAGTTGGAAACTTGTGGCAAAGCCACTGGCACTAGCTCCGTTATTAGCAACGAAAAAGGTACGACTACCGTGGTGCAGGTCAATCCATCCGATCAAGATAGTGCAAACGAGACCACAGATTCTAGTACATCACCACTCAAACGCAATAGTGTTTCTGAACCTGCCATAGCAGTTAATGCAAAAGAAGAATTTAGACCACATAAAGTACCTCATATTAACTCGACTTCAGTTGAATCTGATAAAAAAGAGAAGGAGTCAAATGTATTGAAGGGCTTTATCGAAGAGTTAACCGCTAATTCATCTGAAGTTTTCAAAGACCTACCGTTAGATGGGAATGAAGATAATTTTTTATATCTGTACAACAGAATTACTAATGCTGAAGCTCACAGCGAAATCGCAAATCAAGAAGTTATACGTTACTATTACTCTCTTGGGAAGGTACTTTCACAACGCTTCAAGTATCACTTTGAAAAATCTTATAACGAACACACAGCTCAGATTATACCTGCCGCCCAAATCCCAAATTATTTTGGCATTATGGCTGCCAAAATATGCCAAAATTATTTGGGACCCGAG